GTGTGTGTGTGTGTGTGTGTGTGTGTGTGTGTGTGTGTGTGTTACTCTCTGTTACTCTTAATCTTACACTTTCTGTGCCATGTTACAGCTTCAGAGATTTACACACTAAGAAAGGTCTCCATTTTAAATCCAAACCATTACCTCTGTCATTGCTGCTTGTCTCTCTTTTAGCAAAAAAACAAAAAAGAATTCATTACCATTGTGAGGTAGGCTGTTGTGCCATTTTTACTGATTTCCCAGCAAATAATTCATGGATCTTGATGGGAAAACATTAGACATATTTAGGAGACTCATAATGGGAGGCAGATTCAATAAAGGGTGCAAAGCGAGGTTTGTTTGGGGGGTTTTTTTGCGATTTTTTTTTTTAACATATGGCCATTTCTCAAATTATTTGTGGATTTCTCAAGTAATAATGCAGAATATTTGATGGGAAAAATCAGGTATATTGATTGCTAGAATTGAATCAACTTGTTGAGCTCATTTGTACAAATTTTTCATGTATTTGCAGGTATTGCAGCTCGATTCAGCTTTTTCACGTGGCTTAAATCAACACTGAATAATATTTGCAGGTATTGTGTGCTTGTTGGTATGTTACAAAAGGAATCAGTTTATTAATAAAAGATTGAAATGTATTTATCTGTACAGATCAGTGATAAAAACAGGAGTAATTCTACTTGTAATATTTTTTCAGTAATATGTTTCTTTTTCCTATATGACTCTACCATCCTAACCCTTCCCTCTCTTCCAGGGGAAAAGGATCTCCCCGGGATGAGGTCATAGTGACACCCTCTCTGTCTGGGGTCGGGCTGAAAACCAGGCAGCTGACGGAGGAGAATGCTGACTTTGCCTCTCGCCACCGCTACCACCAATCCTCATTCATCGTGTCCAACAAGATGGTGCAACCACCATTACCACGCTGACTGAATCAGACACTGCTCCTGTTGCATGTCGTACAGCTGACAACCCAAACCCACATTTTCTGCCTCAAACTGTGTCTCGTGTTGTGCCACATTTGTTCTCACAGTGACATTCAGCGACACCACACTGAGGAAATCTGAACTGTTTCTAGAGTTGCAGTGAGTGTTTCTGTTGCGAGAGAACGAGAGTGGATGTAGCTGGAGTTTGTCGTCTTTTTCTTCCATTAAAGAAAACATTTTGTCTTAACATACCTTTATTTTCTTAACTCTTACTGATATATCAGTGAAAACTCACCACTGTTTGTCAGATTCTTCTATTGCTGGGCCACTTCCAGGACGTCCAGCCACCATGGTGCTGATTTAAAAAATATTATCCTGTGCACATGCCACACATAAAGGTTTAATAAAAAGATGGAAACTCAATTCTGCACGTCTCGAGTGAATAATTGTTTTGCACAGGTTGATATCTTGCTTTTCTTAGTAAAATTTGAAAATGGTGAGGTAGGTCTGTGGTTCTGTCTGCTGAGTCTTAAAAGACTTCTAGAGTCTGATGATATGGAATTGAGGACCAAAGGCCTTTCTTGATTCTTGGAACAGCAAAATTTAAAATGAACTGAGCACAAGGTCTATTTAGTGGCTGTTGTGGAACTTTTGTGAAAAACATGAGAGCAGGAGAACAGCAACCAAAAGGAATTTGTGTTGAAATTGTTTTCTCAAGCACCCGCAAATAAACCAAACAAAGAAGAAGAAGATAAACAGTTTTCAGAGAATTTCAGACAATATCAGCTTCAATGAGTGTGAGCGAGATGTTGGCAATGCACCTTCACATTGGTTGACAGCTGCCAATAATCTGAACAAAGAAGTATTTTCTTACTATCCTAACATAGTTAGTTTCAAGAATTTCTCCTCGGGGACGAATAAAGTATGTCTATCTATCTATCTATCTATCTAGTATTTGTTGGTGTATAGGCTGTAATAACAACAATGAGCCACATTGAGAAAAACTGAACAATACAAGCTTCCATCATCATAAGTGCAAAAATACAAAATAATAATATTAATAACACGAGAGAAAAACACAAAAAACTAACTTAAATGAACGTGAAGAAAATGAAGCATTGGCTTGAATGGACATTTTGGGGGGTAGGAATACAAGCGTGTGTGTGTGTGTGTGTGTGAGTGTGTGCAGCAGCAGGAGCAGGGGGAGGAGCCCGGGCTCCTCCGCCGTGATAACAGGCTGCTGCCTCGGCTCTCTTATCTTCCGCTCCCCGCGCTGTCCTCCTCCGAGCACCAGCTCCTCTCCTCCGGACCTCCACCGGGATTTATCCTCATTCTCAGCAAACTTCACCAAAAGCCGACCCGCTCCTCCCATGCTGTCCCCGGGAGACCACCCCGGCATTCACTCGACTTTGCGGATACTATCGGCGACCGTGTTGCGGTCTTGAGAATCATGGAAACGTGGTTTTTGAATCACGTCCTCGGGCTGTCGCTGCTGCTGGTGGTGGGTCTCCCGCGGCCCCTCGGGGCAGGGACCCCCGGCAGCAACAGCACGGATCCCGGATCGTATCACTCGACCTCGGCGGTTGAAGTGAGCAGCGTGGAAAACAATGCGACTTCAAGTTCATACTCCAGCGAGAGTTTATCCCCATCACAGAGGAACCTGCTCACACACACCGCCGCCGCCGCTGCTGCTGCTGGGGGGAACTTCGGTAAGACCTGAAGCCCCTGAGGCCTGCTGTGGCAAGTGCACCCTGTCTGTCCACTGTCCTAACCTTTATATAAACTGTCCTGTCCACTGTCCTAACCTTTATATAAACTGTCC